AACTGAGAGTGCGCCTTTTAGTCCGGTGCGCCTTATGGTCGTGAAAATACGGTATATATATATATATATATATATATATATATACACATATATATATATATATAAATAATATTCTACATGACTGTACTTTCAGTACAAGCATTTAATCAATCATTTTAACTATGAAATTAATATATTGAAATCAATGAATATATTGAAATCAAACAGCTGTCTTTAACCTAATAAGATAACAAAATGGGCCTTCTATTACACATAGGGCTGAAATATTTAATCTGATTAATTGATTATTGAAATAATCGTCCAATTTACCGTAGTTAATTCTTAACTGGAGTATAGAGGCTGTTAAATATGCCTGTAGCTGACAGAGCAATCCAACTAGAGCAGTAATTATACCAAGATTGTAATTAAATGTCTAAACATTTTGCATCTAAAAGAAAAAAAATATATATATATACATATATATTCATGTGTCAATTTGCTCTATCAAGAACCCCTCCAGTTTTAGTTTCACCCGATTTAATTTCGTTTAAAAAAAAAATCTTCTTTAAGGAACCTTTGGTATTAATTTAAAAAATTTTAACATAAGATTAAATGGTTTAGAATAAAAGAACATTTAAAAGGCACACATGCTATTTTCTTTTCTGGTTACTTTCTTCCACTGCAAAAATAATAAACTAAAAACTTTATTGAAAATATATGGATGTCCCAATTTACATTTTTATAAACTGCTAATATCTTTACTTTTATAGAGGGTAGCAGTTGTTTCAGCTTTTCTCTTACTTGTGTTTAAATATGTTGTGCTTGTCAGCTTTTTTCTCCTAATCCCATGTTTTGGGTTGAACCACACTGTTCATTTCCATCTTTTAAAGATTACCTTTTGATGCCGTCTGTCTGAGCACATCCATGCCTTAGGCATACCGACCATTTTAAACTAAAATGTGATTATATCTGAGCAACTTGGCCTGAATTGCAGAGTAATACTGTATCTATACCTAATCATTCTCCTCATCAAACACTAGCAGAAGACAAACCATGTTGAAAAGATTACTCATCAAGGTGCCAAAAACCTTCGGTAGCTAATCTTGAATCTTGCAGTTAGAAATCTACTTAATTTAATCAATGGGTAAATCATTACCACAGGGACAAAGTTCCTTAGTTTATACATTAAAATTACTTTTTCGTAAAAGGAAAATTCGGCTGTTTTGTATTAGTAGTCTTACAATGTGTGTGAGAAGAACAGAAAAAATAGGTTTATTAGTTATAAACTTCCTGCAAATAAAACTTTTGCCTTTAACTCCTCATTACAGTGAGCAACTTTCTGCAACTAGAAGTTTGCTCAAGCTTTTATCATCAATCAAACATCAGATAGTTAGATAAGGTATTTTCACTCACACCAGAAGAAGGAATGGGGGAAGGGATAGTACAGAATGAAGCAGAACTGTCAAACGTGCACTTTAGCTTTTATCGTCTTCCGCTCGACCCATTACAAGCTGATTACTTTTTGGAGTCCCTTACATTATGTTTTAGTAAAATAGTCCAAATTTGTCATAATTTAGATACCCGGTGCTGAAGACAGGCTTGGGATCCACTTTGGGTGGCACAGGCTTCACCTTCTTGCCCACAAAACAGGCCCAGTTGCGTCCCAGGACATCATGGACCCATCCTGGGAGGGTTTGGTCACAATAGCTGGTCACCTTTGAGCCGTCCTGGGTGTACTGTAAGATTCAGCAGAGGTGTAGATTATCCTTTTTAGCATCCTTTTGCTAAACTTGCCTTTAAAAATGCAAAACTTGCACTTTTAAAGGCAAATATAGAGCCAGTCATAACTTTATGTACAAAGGTTAATGTTAAAAATTCAACAGGCTGGTTTGGAAAGACAAGGTACGCTTTTACAAGGCAAGAAGAATATTAACTGACAGGCAGGGTTGTGGTAGCATCATGCTAAGGTTACCATTTTCTGCTGTTGGTGGTGGAATATCATAGAACGTTACAAAAAATACTCAAGACTGAAAGATCAAATATAAAACTAAATCTAAAACAATGGACCTGAAATCCAGTATAAGTGAATGTGTAGTAAGTCTATGTGGAAGGATGTATGAGGAACTGTGACCCATTTTGGAAAAAAGACATTACACATATTCCTATTTTTCCAATTCTTGTTTTTAAAAAGTTATTGAAGTTATTTGTTCTACATTCATTTAACCCCCCCAAAAAGTATTTGTAATGCATCATTAAAAGCCCAACATCTATGATCGTTAAGTCAAAGATACATGGCACTGTAGGCGACTTCAATAAAACCCAAATGGAGTGCCGATTGAGTCATATGTGTGACAAGAACTTCACAAGAAAAAGAAAAAAAAAACACCCTGACAGTTATTTCTCTAAACCGAAGATGAGGAAGTTAAATCAGACGTGGACAAGTCAGAACAGAGGCAGGGAAATAAAACATCTGTGACACTTGAGGCTAGGAGTCATGTGAGTGAAAGTAATAACACATGACCAAGGGTTAACTTTAATGATGCTGCTTTTTATATAGTGAACCAATCTTTTGAGATATTATCAGGTATACTGGAAAGGAAATGAGAAGGAATGAAACCAGTTTTTTAAAGCCACAAATGCAGCTCACCCACCACATTTCCATTTACTTAATCCCTTGAAGCCTAAATTGATATACATGTACATATAACAAGACATTTTGTCAGTTTTTCCCCCTAAATGAGATCCCAAATTAAAATAGTTAATGTTAATAAATTATAACAGCAGTTATAACTACATAATAACATAGACTGTGACTAGCACTGAGGTGATGCAAAAACGCTATGGCGGCTGTTTGCTTCACTGCAAAAATTTTCTGAAGATTAGTGAAAATGTCTTAAAATAAGTGTAATCACCCTTAATATGAGTAGGAAAATAAGATGATCTGCCAATGGAATGAACATTTTTACCCTTACAATAAGATAATTAGATAATATGCACTTGAAATAAGAGACTGCATGTTTTTCTTTCTTATTTTAAATGTACATTGTCTTGTTTCAATGGCAAAGTGTCTCACTTACCTGCTCAATAAAAAAAGCTCTTATTTTAAGAACAACTGTCTTACTTGCAGTGTAATACAAGATGTTTGTTGCTTATTAGCAACAACAGGCATCAAAGGGTTAAATACAAGTTTTACAAGAGAATTAGCTGAGCATCATTATATGAGGCATATGATTTAGGGCAACATAAACGTTCCTAAACAGTTTATTTTATTGTTACCTTGAAAAAGGCAAACCATTTGTAGTCAGAGAGGACCACCTCGAAGCCCTGGTTGTAGATGAGGGTGAAGAAGCCTGTTTGTCCAAGATCATTAGTGGCCACAGACAGTTTCTGCAGGGTCACAGTCACTGTGCTCTCAGTTGTAGCTGAAAAATAAGGTGACATTTAATCATGTGACAAAGTCAATGTTTCCTTCCAGCTATCAGAAGGCAACAATCTTGATGTCATTTTAGTCTTTGACCTGTAGTGTTATTACTGATATATATACTGTCAGTTAACAGTTTATCATTTTAGCATTCTTTGTATGGAAATTAGGCCTCAGCGTGTCACCTGATATTAGATATAATTCAGCTGTTATTTCGAGGTTGTATTACCTTCTACAGAGCAGTTGACGGACTTGTCGTGTCCTCCTTTGGATACCTGGAACACCCATGTCCCCAGCAGGTCCTCATAGGTGCAGTTAGCCGGTGTGTCCCCCAGAGACCCCTCAACCCAAAGCAGGAACACACACACGACAACAGCGCTGAACCTCATGTTTCACTCACTGAGACCAAACACTGAGAAACAAACAGATGTAAAAGCTACAGCGAACACCCTAACCTGTCTGTTACCAGTTCGGCTACCCTCCCACCTAAACTGTTTACGGGTAGAAAGTGGCTCCAACCCGAAGTTTCCCCTCAATTTAAGTTGCTCCGACAAGATAGTTCACCGCACCTACCTTCGCAATGCGCATGCGCACCAACGGTTCCTTTTGTAGTCAGTCAGATGACCGGAGAAACTTTTGTTTGATACTCTAGCAATAATTTATGAAGATTAGTCCTGTATTCATTAAAATGTTTTAGTCCGCGGTGTACTCTTTTTAAGCGTAATGAAATCAGACAAGCACTTAAACACGAGTTTCTACACAAAGGAAATAGGCGACAGCTATTATCTTGCTGTCAAGTGTTCTTTGTTTATTTCCCTTTTTAGTTTCGTTTTATCTGGTCATATGACCACTGCTGTTGATTATGGAAGTAAACAGATTGAATGGATTTGTTTTCAAATATGATCAAAGGAGAGCATTGGGTTTAATGTTAAGGCACTAAAATGCACTTAATATCGACTTACAAAAAGTATAGACCAGCCCTATAATACATTAATAATTCAACTAATTTTGTTGTTTGAAAACATCAAAAGTAATACTCAGATATTTAAAGGGGTGATAGAATGATTATAAAGGGTATTTGGTGCTGGTCCTTAAGGTCTCTGAATAGGGTGTGTAACATTGGTTGGGCTGAAAATGGCATATCTGCTGTTCTATGAGCCCTAATGTACAGAAGAGGATTATGGCCACTTAAAATATGCAAACAAAGTTAACTGATTTTAAAAAATTTTAAAAGTCAGAATTCTGAGGAAAAAAGTCAGAGTTCTTAGATTAAATTCAGAATTCTGAGAAAGAAGTCAGAATTCTGAGACAATTCTGATTATTTTTTTTCTCATATTATAGTGAAATAAAAACCAAAAAATCAGTTAACTTTTGTTTTATTTTTTCAGTGGCCCTAATCCTCTTCCGTACTAATGCAAGCCTGGTTATAAGCCTCAGAATAAAATGACAGGTTTTCTTCCCTTTATGGTATGCTCATGAATATTTAGATGAGCTGTGCTCTGATTGTTTTAGAGGCATAGCCAGAAAATTTTAATAAGGGTTGGCAGGTAATAACCAATGTCCACTGAGGAGTGGCTGAAAGCGGATAGGTGCCAGAACCTCAGGGTCAATCTACAATGTTCCTAAAGGGAAATGAACAACCACAACATACATATTTTCTAAATAAAGACAAACTATACTTTCCTACAACCTTTTCTAACAAATAAATGCATATATTTAAACATCCATGCTGTCTAAATTAAAGGTATAGTAGACCAAATTCTTTCAGTTTTGAGGTCTGGGGTGAACATCTTATTCATTGTCATTATATACCTACTTTTATCAATAATCGTTCTGTATAAAATTAATATTTAAATCTACTATTATCTACATTAAATGGATTTCTTGTTATTAAAATAGTTATTTATCTCTGATTTCAGTGAAGATTCCTAGATGACTTGCAGACATAATTTTCTCTTTACCCAATATAAAACAAAATCTAATTCTGAAAAGAGCATGAATTCTGTATTTATCATCTTTAATGTTAGTATATTGATGTGCATTATTAACCACAACATTTTAGTTGTCAGGTGATTGTTTACATACAGAAAACTAAAATGTTAAATAAGCTAAAACATTCCACTTGAGAGTATTAATGCTGCCAACGTCTGTATTAGAGGGGGAAAAAATGGTAGGGGTGGCCACATGGGTGGCCAATGATTGGCTAAGGGTGGCCATGGCCATCCCTGGCCCCACATCTAGCTGCGCCCCTGGATTGGTTGGTTTACAACGAGCGAAGCTGCTGAGCAAAGACGCATCAAAGCAACAACTGCTTTGTATCTCATTTTTCAGATTGTTTCAAATCTACAGTTTTATGAAAATACCTCCTGCATTTAGCGATGTACCTTTTGATAAGAGTTTCTTATATTATACAAGGTATAGAAGATATAAACACTGTACAGTCATATATTTGGTTTTAGTTTTGACTTGTAGTATAGGGTCTGGGTTGAAACCAGGTTGGTCCAGTTTTAAAAAATTACATGGAGGTACAGAGCAAAAGAATTAAAAAATTGCAAAATATTTTGTTATTTCATGTATCAAGAGAGCCAAAGATACACTCATGGCCCTGGAGACCCTGAACTTGCAAATTAAAATGGTGATCTTGTCTATATGGTGACTTATGTTGTTGTTTATTAAAGCGTTGGTAGGTTGACCTTTTGTGATGTATTCCTTCTCTGAGCCTATTGCCCAGTTATCTCTGTCTCAGCTGGAGCCTGTGAGGCAGCTTCATCATTCATTTTGTTTTTTCTGTGTTCTCTCTTCAGGGTCGAGGCAGTTGAAGCTAGTTCACAGAATAAAACACATCAGATATGGGATTCTAAGCTCCAGATGAGTTTAAAAAGAACCCATTTTTCTAGAAAAGGTGTCTTATATCTCAAAGAATGTTGAAATTAATGATGAAACTCACAGGTGAAGCTAAACAAACTTAAGTATTTATTACCGTAATCATCAGAAGTCTTCGTGAAGTCTCATCTACACAGGAAATGGTCCTGATGGTCCACTGAGAAACACCTTGATTGATAATAAGACATCCAATTTTATTGATCTAATCAAAGAAATCTTCCTCCAATACTTACTTTTTATTGACCATGTAATCTATGGTTCTAGAGTATATCACTGAATTTTGAAGGGTCGGAGCACCTCTTTGATTGCTAGAGTAATATCTGAGATATCAGACACAACTATACTGGTGCAAAACGTTACCTGTGTGTTTTTTTTTCTCTTGTGCAGAAGTATTTAATACCACTCACAGCTGTGTTACACACTATTATGGTTTTTGGAATGGAGGGGCAAACCTTCTCTGGCAGCTTAAGGTTTGTTCACACCGAATACGAATTTTGCACCCGGAGAGATCAATTGACATATTATCCCAACGTTTAGGAAGCGCTGCACTGCAGAGTGAAGCAAAGACTGCAATTCTAGCATTTGAAAGGAATGTTCATTGCAAATACAGCAAAGCGAGAGCCTCAAAGCACCTGCAAAGTACCCAAAGCAAAATTCAATGGAGTAAAAATATGTAAACTTTTGGTTAACTTTGTGTCATGAACAACAACCAATGAGGGATTAGATGTGGCTGTGATTTAGGGCAAAGGAGGGCAGCAGAGACAAACTATTTTTGATCAAAATGAAAGAGAAAATAGTGTTGTCAAAGAACAAAGTAGGGAATGTACCTAAGAGGGTTGTAGGGACTTTTAAAAAAGCTGTTTTAATTTTTCCCTACAAGAACCCTTAAATATTTATCATTCCTTAAATCTCTCCCAGAGGCCTTTGGAAAAGGCATCAGCCCCCTGCAATGCCACAGGATAAAAATTTATAAAATGTATTGATAAACGTAGCGAAATATATTAAACTCAGTGTTTGTCAGTCGCATTCTTTTTTTTAGTATTGTTGCAATTGCTGTGTAAATTGCATTTCTATCTATTTATGAAAATAACAGTGCTTCACTCAGACAAAGCATTGAAAAGAAAATCTTAAAAAAAAAAAAAACATTATCCCTGGCATTACAGCACGATTCACGATTAAGTCTTCATCAGAAAAAAACAAACAAACAAATTAAGTGTTAATTCTCTCACAGCTGAAAGGCCTCATTAACTTTCCAAGAGCGTTTGATGGTTTTGTCGTGATCACATCTAATTTTGTTACTCAGATGCAAGTAAAATGTCTGTTGTTTAGCAGAATACCAGAAACTGCCTATAGAATATTGATAAAAGTTATGTAACATATGTTAGAATAAAGGTTTAAATTTTCTGTACAGACCTTTGCAGAAATATAAAAGTATATTTTTATATAAAAAGTTTGGGTTAATCTATTTAAAGGGGTTGTGATGCCTTATACTCTAAGCAGATGAGGAAAAATAACATCAGCATTAGATCCTCAGCAATTGACAGTCAGGTGACTATTTAGGTTTTAAGATGTTGCTTACACCATGTTTACATGTCTTTCACCGTCATGTTCATGACGGCCTGTTGTAACAATCTCTGTGGGAGAATTTTCTCCTCCCCTGTCCACTGAAAGAGGTCAGAGAGTCAGCCTGCCTGTTGTCATGTTTGTGTGGGTGTCAATGCCTGCTGATGGCTCTGTTATTAAAGGGGTTAAAGAGCTTATTTTAGCTGGCGGGCACTTAAGGGAAGTACTGGAGGCTTTTATCACCATGGCAACCATGACATGGACTGACTCATCTCCTTGACAGACCATAATAAGCACTCATCTGAAGAAGGGACTGAAGAGGAATTAGTCACGCAGTCTCATTAGTGCCATTACACCGTATATGCGTGGAGGTATGAATGTATGTGATTGCATTACTTTGGGACCATGTGTAGGTTTTTGCTTTTTGGGGATTTTGAGCCTACAATCGAGCACATGTGTGTAAAATAAAGCTAAGAGAGGAGCGGGGAGCTCGGGGGGTGATGCGCCGAATGTTAACAGCCTAAACCCACTAAGCCGCTGTGAGTGACTCATTGAAAGTCGTGTTTCAATCTTGATATAGTTCTCGCTTTCACAGGCAGGAAATTAAAACTCTAGCAACTCTGGGTTCGGCTTTATTGGCAGCCAGAGATTTGTTCTTTGCCTTGCTCCGATTCCTCTCCACCAATTTTACATATTTTTCTTCCTCTCTCATGCCTTTTTGAAACCCTCCATAACTAAAGTGTCTTTTTTGAGGATGATTTTCTCATGTATATCAAGGACCTGTTTGATATGCAGTTAATACAAAGTTTTTTGGTTACTAAATTGATTATGGTATTTAAGACTAACTGTTATTCGTGTTCAGTACTTTGCAAACCTTAAACACCCAATATATACATAGAAACACAACCCATAATGTATTTCCTTGTGATGTGATTTATGACTCTAACCAACACAGAGGAAGTCGTGACTGTTGTAAACAATAGATGGCATTTACACTGTTTTAAAAATAGAAATCTGAAAATGTGTCTTTTCAGTTTATGTTTAACAAATTTGCAACACATGTGATTTCAAGGCACTTTGCAGAGACAATTCAGTCAGATCATACAGTT